TTATTCATTAAGCGCCAAGGGAAGCATAATCTTCTAGTTCAAGTTTATGTCTATTATATTATTTTTAGATCAACTAATATACAACTTGTAGAAGATTTCTCTAATCTTATCCAAGGAGAGTTTGAAATGAGCCTCATGGGGGAGTTGAACTACTTCCTTGGTCTTCAAATCAAACAAATGAATGAAGGGACATCTATATGTCAAACTAAATATTACAAATACTTGCTAAATAGATTTGGCATGGAAAATGCAAAGTCTATTGATACTCCGATGGCTATAAATTTTACCTAGAAGGGAATGAAAATGGTAAGGATGTAGATGTAAAGAAATATAGAGGTATGATTAGCTCTCTTCTATATCTTACCGCATCTAGGTCTAATGTCATGTTTAGCGCGCGTGTGTGTGTATGCCTGTTATCAATCGGCTCCTAAGGAATCTCACTTGATAACCGTAAAACGTATTCTTAGGTATCCTCATGGTACTTGTCAATACGGTCTTTGATATTCTAAAGGAAGCGATAGTAACTTGGTTGGTTATACCATTTTCGATTTTGTCAGTTACAAATCGAATAGGAAGAGTACTAGTGGAAATTGCCACATGTTTTCAAATTCCTTATTAAGTAGGCATAATAATAAACAAGTTTCTGTTACTTTGCAAATCGTCGAGGCGAAATATGTTGCGGCCGGTAGTTTTTGTGCACAAATTTTGTGGCTTAAATAACAATTACTTGATTTTGATATAAAATTGCAACGTAATTCTATTATGTGCGACAACACTAATGCTATTAACTTGACCAAGAATTCAATGTTACAATCTCGCACTAAGCATATTGAGATTTGTCACCATTTCCTATGTGACCATGTTGAAATAGGTGATGTCATATTTGAGCATGTTGATAGTAAACATCGACTTGCTGACATCTTAATAAAACCTCTTGCGACCGAGCCATTTTTCAACATCCGAAAGGAATTAGGGATACTTGATATCTCAAATCTTGCCTAAATATAAGTTCTGCGTGCACTTTATATAATATTTATATAACTTCATTGGAAGATCTATTACCTAAGAGTGCATCCTTCATCAATTCATTAGCGAGGTACTATCGTTCCACTTCTCTCTTATTTTATAAGCTTTTGTTGTTGCATGTTGCTTGTGTTCCAAATAATGAATATTCTTGATGCTTGAAATAGTTCATAACTATTCACTTCCAAATATTCCTATTGATGCATGTCAGTTATACGCTTATAGTGATGTTGTGTTATTTCAGCTACATTCTTGAAATATCTTTTTGGTGCATATGTCTTGTTATCTATTTGTGCATGAACCTTGGCTGAACATGTTATGATGTTAATAAAATTCTTGTTGTGTGTCATTGTTATTGTTACATCTCTGTTTTTGGTTTGAGTAGTGATTATTTTGTATCTCCTTGCTAAAGCACATGTGTGTGCATCATTTCGGGAGCACCAAAGGCATATGTCACGTAATCGTGTCGATTTTGTAGCAACCTCAAAAGTTTTTGATGACATTTTATCTCTCATGTTCATGTTTGTATTATGTTATTGGGCATAAATAAGTGGCAATTGTGTTCTATTGTTGCTTTGCTTGCTTGTATTTATGTTTAAATCATTCTATTTCAATGTGAATGTCATTCTATGTGAGTGTTATCATGTTGATAGTCTTATCTTTGCAAATTGCCAATGTGTAGTATTTTTGTGTGTATGTGAGTTACGATACTTCTCATAGTTTGCTTGTTCTCTTTTTGGTGTTGTCAAATATGGAGAAGTATACATAAGATGAAGTTGGATGCACATATTCAGGAGGAGTCTTCATGAAGACACAAAAGTCGCGAAACACGTAATATCATGTTTTGCCATCATAAAAAAGGGGGAGTATGTGAGTGCCTTTTGAATTTTGAATGATGTCAAAACTAGGATAGTGTAGCGTTAATGTATATTGAACGATATCATCTGATTCTAGATGTGCATCTTAGTATTAAGAAGCATTACAATGGTTTGGAAAAGATTCATACAGCATAAATGCATTAAAAACACAGTTTTCAGCAAAACACTACAGCGTAGGCCGACACATGCAAGTATAGGTCGACCAATAGAAGTTTTCACTTTAGTATAGGTCAACACACAACATTTCAGGTCGACACCCACACATCAATATTAAAGCATGTAGCTCTTGTCCAATGTGCTGACCAACATAGGTCGACACAAGACTTTGACAGGCCGGCCTAAGACCTTATCTAGTCGGCTCATTAGCTTTGATAGGCTGACCTATGACTTACATAGGTCGACACGCACGACACATTCCTTCAAAAATATTATTTTTCCTTCATCCATTTGCATTTCTTTTGCTTCATACCTCTCATACATATAAATACTTATGCATGCATCATATTCTAGTAAGGTACTAGTGTAAAACCTAAACGAAACCAGAATTACAAAGCAAACCCATCATCTTCAACCTCTCTTCTATGCATACACACAATCATTTTTTGATTGGGTAACCATATAGATTAGGGTTGATAACATTCAATTAGGTGTGTAACCGAGAATATTGGGTTGGGTACTTTGTGTGTTTCAAATAAGAAAACCAAGATGGAGATTTCCTTCGAGATTATTGGGATTTAATGGTTTTTGGACAAGATCACGCAAATGCAAACTCGAATGAGTGAAGAGGCATTGGGACAAGGTAGGGTGTACCTTGCGAGGGAGTTCGTGAAACAGTGAATCGTGTTCATGAATCTTGGGTTTAACAAGTGTGTGCTAGGGATTAATCCAACCGAGCGAAAACCTTTAAGACGAGGAGGTCTTGCAAGCTAGTAATAAGAACTGATGGATTATAGCAGCGTTGTTGGTTACTTGCTTAATCCTTGATCAAGGGTTTTGGAAGTGGTAGAATCAACAATAAACCATAGGGTTTGTGGGGTTAGAGTTCTTCATCTCTTGTATATACATTGTTTGCAAAGTAAGGTTAAATTACAACTATCTCAATTCAAATGAATTGAGGCAGACGTACCCACAGTGAGGCCGATTGGGGAGCTGCCTAAACAAATATCTCTCTCTCTCTCTCTCATATATATTGTTGTGCTCGCAAATTATCAAATATTTGATGTTCGAATATATATATATATATATATATATATATATATATATATATATATATATATATATATATATATATATATATATATATATATATATATATATATATATATATATATATATATATATATATATATATATATATATATATATATATATATATATATCTCATATATATTGTTGTGCTCGCAAATTATCAAATATTTGATGTTCGAATATATATATATATATATATATATATATATATATATATATATATATATATATATATATATATATATATATATATATATATATATATATATATATATATATATATATATATATATATATATATATATATATATATATATATATATATTATTGTACTTGCAAATTATCAGATATTTGTTGTTTGAATCAATTTGTTTGGAAATCAAAATTTTGATTACGTTTTGAATTACAATTTGTTGATATAATCATAATCACTTTACTTGTGATTAGTTATAACATCAACAAATCAAATTAAAATTTCAAGCGTTATCGATTGCACTCAAGGTGTTCGATAAATTGTTTCAATTGCTTTTAATTTTTCTTTGATCATTGAAAATAAGCTCTACGTGTAGCTTAGCAATTAGATGATTTGTGAGTTAATCATTGTTGAACAATTTGTGTTCATTTTCGATAGTAGGTTCGGTGACGATTAGATTCAGGTTGTTTTCGTTGTGCCATAAATTTTTTGAAAACCATTTTTGCCAAAAATTAAAATTTTAATTTGTGATATATTCACCCTCTCTAGATCGAAACATATCGTCTAACATAAGTGTTACTTTTGTCGACAAAACTTGCAGTGCCAACCAAATTTAGCAAGTATGCTTTCATAGCATACGTTCTATGGAGCCCCACCTGCTCATCATCACCTCTAGTCTTCTCTGCTCTCTGGAGGTCGTCTATATAAACCTTTTTCAGAAATTCAAACTTAGCATGAGTCCCCTAGTTCTATCCATCTCTATCATCAAATCCGTTGGATCAACTCCTATATAGTCTACCATCATCTCGAGTGTCTCGTCTTTGCTAATTCTCTCATGATCTAGAAGTTTTCCCTTGATCGGAAAATGTAGCAAACATGATACATCATCTCTCCACGAAGCAGGAGATGAAATGATGAGGTATCAGTGTGTCATCTTTCCACAAATGCATTAAGCATCCCGTAGTTGACCATAATATAACTGGTCATGCACAAGCCTTTCATCCCAGATATGGAAAAGGCTGTCTGAAACCATTCTTCATTCGACTGAGACAAACTAGTATAATCGGATATTAGTTAGATTCATTCTTTTTAATTTACATTTATTTTTTTTTACATTGATTTATTGGCCAATAGAATCGAGATTTATTGTTCTTGTTGAATGTTATTTTATTTTTCTTATTGTGTTGTTGATCTATTGTTGATTTTTTTTAATTTCTCCATTGTTGTTGATTTCTTGAAGATTAAAAAATTGATTTTTCTTTTGAAAGAAAAACTATTGAGAATGAAAAAGATGAATGAAATGATATTTTCTACATCCAAACTTGTTAAAAGTTTCCAGAAATGAAAAATCGAGATGACTTTTTATATTCTTTGACTTTGTTAACTTGAAGATGCATTTTGCCTCCTAAGGATAGTTACAAAGTTTCGATAATTATAGTATTTGCACTCTTAGTTGAAAAATATCATCCTATAAATTTGAATGAACAAGACAAAATTAGGCTTTAATGGGATGAACCAAACTAGTTCAGGCCCAAGACAACAATTTAGGGATGAAGGAGAGAAAGAAGCTGAACAAGAAAAGAAGTGACTCCATGCAATCAAGAAAAGATTAAGATGCATACTGCAACATCTGCAGCTTAAGCATGACTTGAAAAAACTCATTTCTCAGCATCAGTTTGAGGGTTCCTCTGAGCAAGAACTTTCTTTGTCTTCTCAAGAACACCAAAAAATATTGAACCACCTATTCCTATCCACAACACTCTTGGCCCAATACCCTGCAAATAGTTTTAGGCTTTTTAGAAAGCTGTGTGATTAAAAGAATGTTAAGAATGCAAATAATGAGTAGTGTTACACTAAGTTCCAAAAAAATAAGCATAAGCATACCTTAAAAAGAGCATTAGCTCCTTCTTCTTTAACTATTGTCCTAACACAATGACATATGCCATTGTAATGTTTTTGTGTTCCCTGAACCATCAATCTGGTTTTTATTACATCAAGTGGAGTTGTAACTGCTCCAGTTATTGCAGCTGTAAGATATTAAACTTATCATTCTCAGTTTCAACAAAAGCTGGGCATTATATTAAGCATGAGTGAAAAGAATATACAGAAAAAAGACCGATTCGAAGCTAAATTTGGCAGTAACAATGCTGAATATGAATACAGTAACATATAAGTAGAATCTAATAGCCCGTCAGTCAATGCTAATTCAGCAGCACAAGGTTGTCATGAATTTGAAAAATAGTAACATAAAAATGCAGCTGAGGCACAGAAATTAATGTCGTGTTTGAGATTGTGTTAAACAAAAAAGCTGCATTTTTTTGCCTTTCAAAGCACATTGAATGAAGGAAGCGTGTGGTATCGTTCCTTTCACTGCATGCTGCTTTTGTTTAAAGAAATTTTATACAAACATATTATAAGAATTCTAAAATACTTCACTAGAAAATTTATAATCGTTCTGAAGTAGAAGTACCAGCAAAAGCCCCAATCATAGCATTCTCTGGATCATTCAGATCTCTTTTTGCCTGCAAAAAACAAGAAGTTCAGAAACTATTGAGCACTTCTACAAGGTTCCATTTGTCGATAGAAACACAAATAGACCTGAGCAGAAAACAGAAGAGAAGCATCAAAAATAATATTATCATTTTAAAGTTTAGGTACAAAGAGATGTCATAAGGAGTAAGAGAATTTTGATGCAACCATGCCACAGACAATTTTAAAGATGTGAAATTTTGTTTCTTTAAAGGCGTGAACATTTATATTCACACCAGGCAAACTACTGTTTTACATGAAAATACATAAAGAATACTAGACATTTCAAATGTAAGCTTACCGCTACTTTATACCCGATACGGAGCTGTTCATAGATGCATAATTCTAAAGCATCAAATGGTAAATCTCGCAATAAGAAAGATCCATATCCCTACAATCACTCAAAACAAAAGTACAGGTCAAGATAGGTAAAATAACAACCCAAGTCAGCATATATATATATATATATATATATATATATATATATATATATATATATATATATATATATATATATATATATATATATATATATATATATATATATATATATATATATATATATATATATATATATATATATATATATATATATATATATATATATAATATTCAAGTAGAATTTAAAATGGCAGTAAGAAACAAAGTAAATGCATTATCATTATCCTACAACCTGCATACAACATCATATCTCATCTTTCTTATATAAACCAATGCAAACGTTCTTTTCACCAGCGAGGGAAATTGAATAAGTATGACCTACTAGAGCAATATTTTAAAGCAGAAAATATCATATGTTACCTCAAAATTAAAGAACGACAAATTAAATGGTCATCAATGACATGAAATTAATACATACCGCAAAAAGACCTTTAAAACCCTCATTAGCAATGATAAGACGGACAGCAGATGAGGCTGATTTGAACTGACCGGTTTGTATCCTTTGCTTAACAACCTAGAAAGTCACAAGATCAATTTCAACCTCAAGGAAACAGAAAATAATTGGCAAAGTCAAAAGTAAAATTACTTACCTCAGTTGGAACACGAACAAGAGAAGAAGCGGCTCCTCCAATAGCACCTGCAGCCTGTACTCAGATTAGGAATATTATCGTAACAAGAATTATTGTAGAAATGTCGTTGCTCACAGTTCTGTGCTAGGCTAAACTACCTGTGTGCTGATCATTTAAGACAAGCTAGGTCGTTTGTAAGTTTCACATGTTTTATTTGTATTTATTGTTTACACTTTAAATTGACTCTAAATTTTGTTTGCTTACAAGAACTAAAAATAGTGCACTTTATGCCAAATGAGCAACAAAATTTTATATGTAATTTCTATCACAAATATGTATAGGTTGTATAGGTACATATCAAACTAGAAAATCTCCTTTCAAGCCAAGTACAAGCCTAGACTCAAACTCTTTTACTGCTCAAGATGAGGTTGTGAAACTAAATTATTGACTCAAACTATGAAGACTGAGGTATTCAAAAAGTTGTCTACTGTCAGCACGTGTTGTAAGCCATTGCCAAATATTACAAATGATTGAAAACAAATTTTGGTAAAAATTCTTATAAATTTGCTGAATAGCGAAAAAAAATTGGATATCATGGTAAGTCTATGGTTTTTGAAACAGAAAAGTTGGCCTGTAAAAGAACTATGCTCTTGAGTTTTAGGCCACATTAGGATAGTTTTGGGTCAATTCTGGTTTGTGTATGCTATGATTTAATTATCTCAACTAATTAATGCTATGAACATTATCATGTCGATATACAAACATTAAAAGGTGAAATCTGTGTGCGACATGTCTAGATAATTCGAATAGATTATCAATTTTATTATTAAGAAAGCCAACTTACAATATGAGCCAGAGCATTTAGATTCTCAGGGAAGATCTCCAGCAATTTCTGCTTTGCTGGTTCATACACACCAATAAAAATTGCAGAAGCTCTGCCAGGAGAGGAAGAATAGCCAGTTAAACATACAACACGCGTAATTAATTCAGTGCGAGTATAGAAATCAGCTTTTTAGGAAAAATAATATTTGACCAAACAATGCAATTGGAAATTTGTAAGGTGTACCCTCCATATAGTAAACTCACATATAGACAGAAGTGGTAAACATAAATTTCGGTACTCTAACAGAATTGGGAAAATGACTTTTTCAGTCATTTCTTAATAGATAAAACTTGAAAGAAAACATTTCTTAGCTTGAGTTTCAAGACATGAACATTATAATATCTAGTTAGCTTTGATTCAAAGATGTTAGTCGTTGAAGTATATTAAGCAAAAATCAGAGAAAAGGATAAAGAACACTGACATGAACGCAGCATGAATTGAAAAAGATGAGGTGTAAATGGAAATAAAGCCTACTCACGGTAAGGAACCAGCAAGGTTTACAGCCAATCCAGAATACAAACCTTTGAAATCAATTTTTAGTCCAGCACGAGCAACCTGATTTAAAATGGAATAAGATATAAAATCAAAAGATAGTGCAATTAAAACTAGATATGGGAGAATCATGCCAAAACTTGACCAACCAAACTAATAGATTATTCACAACCAATGAGCATAATGTGTATGTCCCTAATCAAGTAAAAATTATAACATTTATAAAACTTGAACTTAGATTTGAACACACACAATGAAGCTGCACCCAAATGGGGAATGCATTATTAGTATCTGTCAACAGCATTTCAAGACCTACAAACAACACCTACACACGAAGTAGAATTAAAAAATTTCAGTCAATACACTGAACTCACCTGTAGTCGTGTTTTGATGGTATCAATGGGGTATAAAGCTGCTTCTACAGCAACACCAGCAACACCTCCAGCAATGCAACCCTCTACAATTTTCATAAGTCATTCAATACAACACAAGGATTTTCAATTTGCTACCTCTAACAACTAACAACTTTATAATATTTCACTGATCACGATGTATGCATAAAAATGTAGCAATGTATTAATATAAGGCAAACAAGGCCAGTTATTTCTCTAAATTCAAATGTTCACGATTATTAAACCTTACACCAACACAATCTTGAACTGAAATAGAAAAAAACAACAAAAAAAAACTTACCATATAAAGCGCGTAAATAGTCAAATTGCTTATTCTCTCCATTACTGATAGACGTGAAGAACTTGTCTGGATCCTTCTGAGGAGGCATTTTAAACATCAATGCAACTGCATAAACTAGTCATTGTTTCAACATAAGTAAGCAAATACAAAAGCAGAAACATCTTCAACTAAATTGACACTGCAAATTTAGATGAACAGGTAAATTATATACTATCATAGACTCATTTCATGAACTAAATAAACCAAAAAGCTAGATTTTAGGGTGAAAATGAAATTGAATTTTGAGGGAAACTCAAATCAACATGAATTGATAACAGCTAAAATGAATCATAAAAATGCATAAAGTTAGAGCAAAAAAGAAGTTGAGTAGAGAGAGTATACCAATTGAATCGAAGTTTTGGAGGTCGTGAAGAATGTGCAAAGATCAAATATTTGATCTAATGAACCAAAATTCTGAGAGTGAGAAGATGCAGAAGCTCGAAACAACGAGGTTTTGACGGGGTTTCTCTGGGTTTATACACTCGTGCAAAATCTTTAGCATTATTTTTCAAGTTAAAAATAAAATTTAATACATTAGTTATTCAATAAATTTTAAATATAATTGTAAATATCTAAATGTAATAACTACTTATTTCAAGTAACTAATGACAAACTTTGCTTTACTCTTTCATTAGTTTCTCTTCTTATTTTATCTCTCTTATTCCAGTCAAATTGTAAAATCAGATAATTTCCTTCCATTTATATTCATTCATCTAAGTTAATTTTGAGAGACCATAAAGAAAAAAGAAAAAATGAAAAAAAAAATGAAAATGAGAGAAAAAATGTTAAGGAAATATTTAGATATGCAAAAAATAGACAACACTAAAGAGCACGCATGAGAGGATTTAAAGGGTTTTTTATTCCACCATAATATTGATTTCAAGTCTGAGTGGTTAAGTTTCATATCACTTGTGAATGGATAAAATATTGAATTTATAAGAGAGATGACTAATATATATAATGTATTAAGATTTTGAGTGAAGATGTGATCTCTCTCTCACGAAAGTGCATCAACCTGGTTATTGACATATATAGTCTTGGAGTGGTTTAACTTCAAATTAAGTATACTTTTCTTCAAATCGAGTATTATAGTTTGTGAGATGTTGGATCGAACTCTAGTGTGGTCGAAGTCTGTTCGCGAGTAATGCATGTTGTAGTCGAAGTCTGTTCTAACATGCATTAGTCAATATTGCTAGGGTTGTTAGCATGTTGAATTGGGTCTTGCTTGTAAGCCCAATTATTTAAGTTAGCTTGTACCCTAAGTTAGCTTGTAATGGGTAATTGTTAAAAAGCTCATTAGGTTAGTGTGCTATTTTATTATAAATAGGATGCTAGTTTCTCAATCTTGGTATAAGGAAAAATAGGAAGATAAAATCCTAATTTCAAGAGAGAGAGGTTATTTTGTTATTCTTGTATACTTGTAATCTTGTTCTAAGAGAAAGGAAAAAATAACAGTTTAATAACCAATCCTTGTTGTTTTCTTCTTTATTAACCCTAACTCTTGTGTGTTTCTTGATCATTAAGAAACCATTTATACTTTGTTTAAAGGTATTCGATTCACAACAAATTGGTGCGGTGAGCGTGGAGAAGATGCCTTCAACAAAGTATGAGATTGAAAAGTTCACCGGAGTGAACGACTTCGGTCTGTGGCGCTTGAAGATGAAAGTCATGTTGGTTCAGCAGGGTTGTTTGGAAGCGTTGAAGGGTGAGGCAGCCATGGACGCTGCGTTAACGGAAAAAGAAAAGACGTTGCCCAGTTGCAAGTTTTTCCACTGTATGCAGTTAATAAAGTTGCGTGAAGAAAGCTAGTTTCTTGATGTTATAGAGTTAGATCCAAGGTGGAGATTTGTGAGATGTTGGATCGAACTCTAGTGTGGTCGAAGTCTGTTCGCGAGTAATGCATGTTGTAGTCGAAGTCTGTTCTAACATGCATTAGTCAATATTGCTAGGGTTGTTAGCATGTTAAATTGGGTCTTGCTTGTAAGCCCAATTGTTTAAGTTAGCTTGTACCCTAAGTTAGCTTGTAATGGGTAATTGTTAAAAAGCTCATTAGGTTAGTGTGCTATTTTGTTATAAATAGGACGCTAGTTTCTCAATCTTGGCATAAGGAAAAATAGGAAGATAAAATCCTAATTTCAAGAGAGAGAGGTTATTTTGTTATTCTTGTATACTTGTAATCTTGTTCTAAGAGAAAGGAAATAATAACAGTTTAATAACCAATCCTTGTTATTTTCTTCTTTATTAACCCTAACCCTTGTGTGTTTCTTGATCATTAAGAAACCATTTATACTTTGTTTAAAGGTATCTGATTCACAACAAATAGTTCTTTTTGTACTATTATTATTGGTGAAAATTATTTGAGTGGTGTAACTTCAAGTGGTTATACTCTTTATGGTAGAGTATGATAGTTCTTTTGAATTATGATTGTTTGTGTAGGCAATGAAAATTGATGTATCATTTTCAATCAAGGTTGAGATTGTTGGGTTTCTAATGTGAATGGTTAAGTTCCACATCTCAAATGATTATATTTTTGGATTTATAAGAAAAATGATCATAAATCTAATGACTTAGATTTTTGGTGGAGATTTGATGTCTCCTTATATAACTTTCATTTCTTTGGCTCTTTGGATCCTCTGAGATTTAGAAGGACGTCGAAAAGTTCAACATGTTCACTAAGGTAGGTTGTTCCTTCATAGGTTATCATTCTAATTTATTTTTTTTGGAATTTTATATGTATAGGATATCAATTTATTCTTCTAGTGAAAACATTTATGAAGGAGATGTCTTCGTCCCTTGTGACCATGGGATCAACAGTGTCCCTCGGGCTCATATGTGAAGGTGGAACGTCTTCGCGGAACCGGAGAACATGTTCTATAACTCTTGTGACCATGGTGTCGGCAGTGTTGGGGTGACTCTGCATGATCTTCATGGTAGTTTGTCATTATGTCAGCATGGACTTGTGCATATCCCTTTGCAAGTATGGTTAGTAGGAGATAGACAAAATTCATTATTTTGACTCCTTGGCACCATTTATTTTGATGCTCTAGCAGTGCTAGGTGTCTTTGGACCACCACCGATAGGTCTATCAATAATGTGTTTGTTTCAGCGTAAGTTACTAGTGCTACTAGAACGATAACTTGTAGTGTGCTACTGTCTCCTTGTGGATTTAGAGGCAACAACAAGTGTTTGCCAATTGGTATAGAGACCTTTAGAAGTGGTATATACATGTGGTTCGGTGGAGATAAAGTGATGGCTTTGATCTCTAGAGGTGGTGGAATATTTAGACTCTATTGGTGTGAGGAGAATGATGTGAGTCCATCCTCAATGTCGTGGTTGACTCGAGCGGTCTCACTAGCTACAGATCAACGGGGACAACTAGAGCTATGGGTGAACTTCTCACGGGGTTCACCATTATGATATTGATAAATGTGTTCAAACATTTGATGATCGTTCCCATAAAATACACGAATATTCCTTAATAGTCCAACATCTCGGGGGGGGGGGGGGGGGTACCTACAAACACTTTTATGCTCAAATCAGTAACCATTGGAGGTAAGAGGTGATTTAGGTTAGAAAAAAATTATGTACCATGATTTGACGTATTATCTTTTCTTTTATAGTCAGGTTCAGGGATTTTGGAGATCTATAACCTTTTTTGTGAAAAATAGTTGTCCCAAAAGATAGGTGTCATAGTATTATTCGTTATGTCATTTAACAGATCTAATTCAATCCTTTTCTTGGATCAAATGTTTTCCTAGGAAATATTCATGCTTATTTTCGAGGTCATGGAACCTTCTTCGGGTGCATAGCTTGAAAACACAACGTCATTGCCACGAAGGCATAATGATAATATTGGTCATCATTGGACGTTCCTCATTCTTCGTGGTAGAAAATTGATATGATTTATCTATAATGGGCTAACCACCTTGTTGGGTTGCAAAATACATCCCTTTGGCCTAGGTTGGAATAACTCCATGAAATCAAGTTTTAACTTTAGCAATAAAGAATATTACTTAACATTAGAATTACAAATCAACATACAATATAAATTTATGGTGGAATATGTAGAGCAATTATTTGTCCTTACAACACAGAAAAAATAGGAGAAGGGAGACACCGACACAATGCAAAGAGACAAAGAGGAGAGAAAGATGAATCTGACTAAAAAAGAAGAGAATATAAGATCTCATTTCTAGTGAGAGAATATAGATTGTGTGATTTTGGTAGACTTTTGAAAAAAATTATTGTAAACTTTTTTTACAAAATTTATTTTATAAACCTTTTTTTATCAAAACAATTTTATCTTTTTTTATTGACCCATAAAAAGTAAGGTCTTTTTTCTAAGGCTTTTTGTGGTCCAACCTATCCAAAAACATAGGGTGGGTGGATCAAACTCATTTTAACAACTCATAATATAAAGATTAAAAGTTTAAAGTCAGTTATGTTTAATGTCTCAGTTTTTATCTAAAGAATGTAACAATATAAGCTACCTACTAGAGATAACCTAGTGTCTAGGAATGTGGTTAGAGTTTCATCTTGGTAGCATTGTGATCAAGGACTTTTCTAGTCTTTTTCTACTTTAAATTATTTGCTTAGGCTTTTCTGATTTGCGTTAAGTTATGATCAGTGGGTTATATCTCTAGTTTTTGAATTTTTTCTGCGTCTATAGCGCATTCAATTTTTTGTTTAAATAATTTAGTAGTTGAAATCCATCTTAAAAATGAATAAGTGAACGTTTTTTTATTTGATATCTTTATGTAACTATCAACTGAGTTGTTTTAATTGAACAGTAACGTCTCAATTTTAATGTTAAGATTTTAGACTGTAGTATTGGTAGGGTGGCGGGTTTCTTAGCTTGCTTTGGCGTGAGACTTTTCTGGTGTGTATGACCATTTTTTTTATGTCTTATAGTATAATATATGTTGAAATTTCAACCACAACCTATGAAGAATTTCACTCAATAAATCTTGATCTCAAGATTGTTTCAACTCACGTAATGACAATGAAAGAAAAGTTTATAAAGAAAGAAAGTAAACGTTGGAGAAGAAGATGAATAAT